GAGAGATTTGCTATTGTATGGTTTTTTGGTATTGGCATTTTAAAAATATCAATACATTGACAGTGGAAGAAAGCCATGTTGTCCTAAAGAAGTGGCTTAAAGTCTCTATAATAAACTTTTATGATGTTTGTTTAAGATTACAATATAGGTGGAGCATTGGAAAAAGAAGCATCATGCAAAAATTAGAGATGAGAAAGTTCAGACTTTGACTAATTTGAATAGACAATTTAATAATCAAATGGTTTACAAAATTTATTATTTGGTATTATTAAAAGTTTAAATATTGGTAGATGTTAGGGACATAATCCTTAGAACCTTCTAGAGACAAATTTCTAGAACCTTCTAGAAGCAAGTCTTTGCAACCTTCTAGAAGCTTCTTAATTGGTAGAAGATATTAGGGACATAGTCCTTAGAACCTTCTAGAGATAAGTTTCTAGAACCTTCTAGAAGCAAGTCTTTGGAACCTTCTAGAAGCTTCCTAGTTGGTAGAAGTTACTTGAGAAGCTTCCTAAATAAAAGTATATATTGAAATCGAGGCTGAAGAGCTCTTCAGTCTCGACAACACATCTCTTAGAGTTCTAGCTCACCTTTTTGGTGTTGTTCTCATCTGATTAATCTAGTTCTTGCCAGTTCTTCTTGAACTTCTTGTTAGATCTTGAGTTTGTATTTCTATGTCCATGACAGTAGAACCATTAGATGAATAAGAAAAATAAATCAGATAATTTACTATCACTTTTGATATTTTGTAAAAATATCTACTTTATGAATGTCTTAAAACCAATAATATTCCACAATTAATTAATTTTCATCCATTCACAATAACATCTTAACCTTCTTCTATTGCTCCCATTATCTTCTATCTACATCATCCAAAAAAAAATTTAATAATTGAAATATTTTTTAATTAGCTAAGTGGTGTATATCTTACATTGGATCTTAATCAACAAGTAGAGAAACAATCAACCTTAGTAAAATTGACATCCTAAAGGTATTTTGTTCCAAACAAGTCTAATTGCCAAAATTCTACGAGATGTCTTTTTAGTGCATTAAATTGTAATTAATTGCAATCATCTACTAAAAAAGATCCATGTTTGTTTGAAGTTGTAGAGGGAAAACACAAACAATGTAAGACATATGGCCAAGTTGGACATAACATTAGTATATGTCTAACATGACCACGTCTACTTGAAGTACTTTAGAAAGAAAATCATCTTAATATGAAGCAACATTCATTAAAGTACAAAAGAAATTCAATTGCTTGTAGAGATAAGAACAGCAATAAGATCTAGTTGATTATTATGGATTTGGATATTACTTTGGCAATTGCCATAGCATATATTTGAAAGTATTATATGTATTGTATATAGACTCATTGCAATAATCTAAGTAACTTTTGACACAATAGTGTTGATTTAAAGAGAAAGACTATTAAAGAATTAATAAGATTCAAATATTATAATATGTGTAAATATTTTTATTTTTTAAATAACAAATATAATCATTTTTTTATGTCAATATAAAGTATTATATGTATTATATGCTATTGTATTACATATTAATAAAAAATATCAAACTATGATACTTCTTATAATACATATAATACATATAATACTTTATATTTAATCAATAGTATTAAAAAATTATAAAAAATATCAAACTATGATATTTCTTATATTATCATAGTTTGATATTTTTTATAATTTTTATATTTAATCAATAGTATTAAAAAATACTCTAACCTACTACTTTTAGAATCGATAAGCAACAAATAAAAAATACTAAGTTTTGAAGTTATTTTAAAAATTGTTTAAAATTAATTTTGCACCTTCTATTATCTCTTTGTGCATAAAAAATAAAAAAAAAAAAAAAAAAAAAAAAAAAATCAATCCAATTTTCTTCTTTTATTAAATTTTCCAAAACACTAAGGCACATTTACATATTAAGTTTTGAATACATTCTCAAAATATTGCCAAAATTAATAAGATCCATCATAGAACAAACAATTGAGGAATTTTTTAAAATATAAAAATTAATGGTCTAATATCACTATTTGCTAGTTATATTGAATATTTTGTTTGTAATATATTTCTAAATTAATACTCTAGTCAATAAAATTCACCTGAAGTCTTGAAGTAATAATTTAAACAAGATAATTAAATGACATTAATGTAATTAATCTATTTTAGAATCATTTTTTATTAAAAAAAATTAAACTCATAATTGGTAATTATTATTGTGTCAATTATACAACCATTAGCTTTAACCAATTTATCAAGAAAAAACTTTGCTTTCCATAGAAGTGCAAAACTTCACGTAAGAGTGTAAGTTTTAAGTATCATGAATTCTTATTGAATAGGTGATGACAAAGATGTGGATGTGAAATAAGTAATAACATCTATGTAGAATGTTATTAAAGATGTTTTACATATATATATATATATATATATATATATATATGATAGAAAAGAAATTAGAATGGCTATTATCAATTAAAAAATCTTCAATTAAGACTAAAATATAAGAAAGATGTAGTTAAACTTTGAGATAGTCTCAATCTTTTCTTTATGTATACTAGCTGTTCAAAAGGTCTTGTAGAGGCCTTGTAAAGATCTCAATGTTTATTGTCCAACATTAAATTATATAATTTAATAACCATATAAAATATTTATGGGAGTCTAAATATCTAATCCATTTATAGAAAACTTCATTAAAGTTTTTTAAGAAAAATATACTATACACCTATTATACTTCTACTACTTCTATTCACCTCTTTTTACTTAAATAATATTGTAATTTGTTATAACTTTATTCATTTGAAAAAATATCAAAGAGGTTACAAAAAATGCTTATACTAGAGATGATGTAGAATAAGATAGTTAATCATTTAGTATAAAGAAATATCCTTTAAAAAATAAAAATTAATAAATAATAGAAGAAAAATATCTATTTATCTATTATTTAATTTAGTACTACTAAAAAAACTATTATATTTAGAAAAAATGAACTAAAAGATGAATTTTATCAAAAGTGAGACTAATTATTTTTTGTAAGTGATGTTAAAATAACTATAATTGTTTGTTGATAATTATGTTAACAATTTGATCATTTTGTCAAATAATTTAAAAAGTTGTATTAAATGAAAATCAAAGTTGGGATGGAATATGAAATAAGTATTTTCAAAAAATTTCATTGTTGTCTTAAAATCAAATTTGTCAAAAACTACAATAAAACCAATATCATAATGAACCAAAGCAAATTTCTTGAAACATTGTAACATAAAAACTTGAAAGCATTATTTCTAAAGCCAATTTGAAATTGATAGGAACTTTCAAAAGAAGATTATGTGGATGTGAAGGCAAACTAAAAGGTATTCTCTAAAAAGAATAGTAAGATCACTTGTATATGCAATAGTAAATACAACAACTAATCTTATATATGTATATTGTTTTGTAAATTAATACGCCAGCAATGTTGGTTTTATTAATTAAAAAACAACAAAAGTGAAAAGGTACTTAAAATACACATTGAACATCAAATTATATCTTAATGGAGATAATGATAATTTATAAGGATTTTATAGTATATATTATATTAGAGATTCTATTGATTATAGATCCATCATAAAGTTTTATATTCTTTGTTCGAACAGAACAATTTTAAGGAATTCCAAGAAGCGGCCTATTATTACTTGTTCTGCTATTAAGGCAAGGTAAATGAAATCAAGTCATTGTAAAATAGGAATAATTAGATGAATTTAATGTCAATTAATTTTTTTTTAATATGGCAAATTAAATAGAAAGAAAAATCTCAATTTAATTTACAAGAATAGTAAAATTAAATTCAAAATCGATTAATACATCATTCTACTTAGTATCAGTCTCTTAATTTTAAAATTATGAAGCATATATAGATTTATATTTATATATATATATATATATATACATACATTGCATTGAGTATTTTAAATATAGATTAAAGCGTGCTAAAAATGTATTTAAATCAGATGTGGGCTGAGAGAGAGGCATGACCATGGCTGTATGTTGTATAGTCATTTCCAAGAGGGTCAAAATGACCATATTCAAAAGTAACATGATCCAGACTAATGATACAAAAACAGAGGACTTAGCAAAGCAGAACCAGAAAGAATGCAACAAAAACAGGCAAAGGAAGGTCATATGGTTTCAATACTAACCTCTGAGAAAAAAAGCATTGAAGACAGAAACTCCTTGAAGAAACAAACCCTTTGAAGAGTTTCAGATGTTCTCGGGTCGAAGCAAAACAGATCCAACGACAAAAAATATTCTGCCCTTTCGAAACCCTAAAATCAGAAAAAAAAATAAACGAAAAAAACAGACTTACCCTCTTTCGTGTAGATACACTGCTTTTCAGACATATCAGTAACGAGTTGCAGCAGAGTTGATGGCTTCAAGAGCCATGCTCTGCTCCGTCATCTTCATGGAACGAGAGCGCCTTGTAGAACCACAGAGAGCAATGCCCACGCAAAATGCTCGCAGCCCTTGCTTTGGCATATGAAGCACAACGTGTCTGCACAAGTCATCAATCAGCTCCTGTAATGGTCCATACCCTCCTCGCCCCCCTCGCCAGGGTGCCCTATCGATGAACGCCTCCAGTGGATGCGGTATCCTGTCACAGCCGGATCCGGAAAACCCATTCACGTGCTTGCGCAGACAAAAATTGCTTGCAACGCAATCTTCCCAATGCACAGCATCGGGTAGCCACAAAGTTGAAACAGACGTGGATAAACAAGCGGTATAAATCGAGATACGAAACAATCAGGCTACATCGTGCAAAACGAAGAAAACTGTGATACAGTAATGGTGGCGCTTTATTTAGAAAGATATATATATATATATATATCTCTAAACCCAACAAGGACGCCCCCCGTCGAAACCCTCCAGACGGAATCCTCCCAGGTTCTCATCTATCGCTGGTCGTGCCTCCCCACGATGTATACCCGGAATCTCCACACACACCAAGTTGCAGAAACCGTCCGGGTAACGTAGCCTCGGAACCCAAGTCGTGGAGATTTTTTAAAACGAGGCTGTGTGCACATTTCAGATCGACAAATCCTCTCAGCCCTGTGTAGGAATTTGAAAAGCTTAACTTGCTTCAACAGGTTCGTGTGGGAGTTCAGCGCAGTTGTTAGGGTCATTACTTGGCAATCAGGTGTGCAAGATTTTGTATTGTTGGTGGAATTCTTTTGTAAATAAAATCGAATTGAATGGTCCAATATTATTCCATTTTTTATTTTTTATTTTTGTCTATTTTTTGTTGTCGTGCCATGCTTTCTCGCAGTCTTATTGGGTTCTGTCGAGTTCCTTTGAATCCACAAACTGTTTATCGCATGGCAGCTAATGCTATGAGTGTAAGAATTACAACCTGGGAGATGCTCCGAAATTCCGACTTTGGTTTCGGATTGCGCTTAAACCTCTGAGTTTCTTGGCAGTCAATGGCCTTCAGCTTGGGGTTCCCTGTTTCGAAGATTTGAGGATTTCGATTTCTGAACCCTTCCCTTCAATTCCGACATGCGAATGTTATCAAGATCCGTGTCCAACATATTTACGACTGATGTAGTCTGGAAATACTAATAAGGGGTTGAGCGTGAGCATAATCAGAATCATCTTCATTTTAGCAAATTTGGTGGAATCGACTAGAATCAAGCACGAAATCTGTTCTAGGCTGACGATTTTGTGTACTTGCTTATCTGTCTCTAGTGGTCTTGTTAGCTTCAAGCTCAATATTCGAAGGCAGTAGCTGCATCCTCAAATTCTGCATCCCCAATTGAAGCTGGTGTTGTTTTCGAGCAGTTATGGCGCATGATATAGTAATTGAGAGTTCTCCAGGTCTTGTGACAGTTCAACAAGCAACAAACATCATTCTCTCAGTTGCCAAACGCCTGTCACCTGTTACAGTTCCTTTATACGAGGCAAGCGGGGCCACTTTGGCCGAAGACATCACTGCCCCAGAGCCTATTCCACCGTTCCCCGCATCAATAAAGGTGTATCTTTGTGACTCAACTCTACATCGTCTTCGTTGTTAACACTCCAGGGATTGCACTGCGATCTATTAGTCAGATTAGGTAACTCCATTGCTGTGGCTAAGATGAAGAAATGGCGGGTATGATTGTGTAGGATGGCTATGCCGTGGTTGCAGCCGATGGACCAGGAGAATATCCGGTTGTTGGCGCAGCTAGAGCGGGAAGTTATAGTTCTCAGCTGCAGCTTCAGCCAGGCTCCGTGGTTTACATCACAACAGGAGGTGGGATGCACTTCCATTCGCTTGTCAGAAATTAGATTCGTTAAGTAATCTCTTGATTATGAGCAATGCATTCGAAGGAGTATGTGTCTCGAGATTTCTTCCTTTGATGTGATCGGCAGGCTAGAACGTTTAGGTCTTTTTGTTTTATCGCAAGGTGAATATTCTGCACTCAGCATTCAGCGTGTCCACTGTCTATGAGACTCGGAATTGTGTTATATAGTTGAGCTTCTTCTGAAAGGAGGTGACTGAAGGGGTTGGGGTTTAAGGTATAGGGTTTGAAATCGCGACTGAGGATTTGATTACGAAAATTGCGAGATAAGTGTAATTACAGCCGCAGAAGTGTTTTCGTGCCTATTTGTAGATGGTTGAATGTGGTTGGAAGTTTGTAAAGTCACACGAATTGATAGAGGTTCAAGTATATGCAGCTATTCTACGAATTAGCTATGCTCACCGGAACCAATACAGCAGCTAGTATACCAATTTCATCCATAATGTGTAATCTCTATGGCCATCCATTGACTGCATCTGCTCCTTTAACAGGCCCTATACCAGACGGTGCCGACGCAGTCGTGCAGGTGGAGGACACGGAAGTTGTTGAAGATGGGGCATCCAATGATGTCAAAAAGATTCGGATATTGAAAACAGTCACTAAGGGACACGATATTCGGCCAGTGGTAATTTTCTTCACAGATGATTAACATAACGCGGGATACGCAGGAATTTCGGCAATGTCTCTGGACTATGTGGACCTATTCAGACAGTTTGATCATTATAAAAACAATTGTGACAATTGAGGAAATACAAACCAGAATTACCCTCAGCTTTTCTGGATTTGTGCTATGTAGTGCATGCATATTGAAATATTTTTGGGATTTTGGGTGCCAGCATTAGTATGTCAGATATGAGGTTATTCATGAGTAGGGGAACGTCTATCTTTGTTATTTCTTTATTCGATAGTGGAAGAATTCGAAAATATTCCGTTGCGCTTCATGGACTTGTGGATTCAGGGTTTCGACATAGCAGAGGGAGCTTCTGTGCTTAAAGCGGGTGAGAGATTAGGTGCAGCAGAAATTGGTCTTCTGGCTACAGTCGGCGTTTCTCACGTTGAGGTAAAGTTTTTATCTGGCTTGACTTGTCTTAAGTACATAACGAATTATCTGCTGAGGTGATTATTTTAGGTGTTTGATGCTCTGCCAACTTTTCTTTTGGAATTTCTTGTGCAAGGAAGTTATTTAGAATCAATGTGCAGGTTTTTCGCAGACCAAAGGTAGCAGTAGCTTCAACTGGCGATGAGCTGGTGGATCCTCAGGATGGCACGAAGTTGGGGAAAGGCCAGGTGAGATTGTGTTGCCTGCAAAGTCACTATTCAGCCGCATGTTTGTACGGAATATCAATTTCTTGTACAATTATATCATCATGTCATTAATGTGTCTGTAAGTGTCAATAATAGTTCACTTTCCATGCCTTCACTGTGCGTGTTTGAATGAAAAATCTACTGGTCTTGATATTAAGTAGAGATGAGTTGCAGATTCGAGATTCCAATCGTGCTATGCTTCTAGCAGCATGCAAAGAACACCATTGTGAAGTCATCAATTTGGGAATAATTCGAGACGTTGAGGCCGAAGTGAATGATATACTTGACAAGGCTTTAGCCTCGAATGCTGATATTTTGCTCACTTCTGGTGGGGTATCTATGGGTGATAAAGACTTTGTCAAGCCGTTACTTCAAAAACGTGGAAAGGTGTACTTCAGCAAGGTGAGCTCTCGGAGGTTAAAGACATGGCTCAAATACTGATGGTAGATTACAATCACATGTGTTGTCATTTGGATGTAGTTAGTACTAGAAAGAAGCATCAAATTTTATTCCTTGCTAAATCAATTCCTTACAGGTGCTAATGAAGCCTGGAAAACCTCTTGCTTTTGCCACGCTAGAGGCCCGTGCAAGAGGCGCCTCTGAGACATCACAAATGTTGGTGTTTGGACTTCCTGGCAATCCAGTTAGCAGTGCTGTAACCTTCAATTTGTTTGCTGTCCCTGCCATCCGCTACTTGTCAGGATGGGTGGAACCTCAACTTCGAAAGTAAGTGGTATTCCAACCGCATATTGTCTTTACATGCGACTGATTTGTGCAAGTAGAAACTCATTGATTAGTGTATGCAATGTGGCTCGCTATCGTTCATAATGAGCGTCTCAAGAAACCAATGATCCGTTCAGTATGCATTCTGTGTTTTTGTCGTGAAGCTGCTTATCTGAGATACTTCCATTACTGTTTAAATATAATTGTCGAAACCAATCATTTATTTTAAAATTCTGACGTTAACATTTTCAAATTGTCACAGGATTCAAGCTAGAACATGGAGTCCTCTAAGACTGGACCCAGATAGACCAGAGTTCCATCGGGTAACAGTAAGCTGGGAGCTAGATGATGGTACAGGCCATCCTGGGTAAGATACGAGACGAACAGCCTGCGGTTGTTTGCTTTCTAATAGAAACATGGGTCCGAATTTCGATTCTAGAGATGCTAAGAATGCTACAACGTCAAATGATTTCGAGTTTACTTGCTTTACACGGACATTAGTTTCAATATCCGAATACTCTGTAGCTGAATGAGTGGTGAATATCGTGTCCAGGTTTGTGGCAAAAAGCACAGGTCATCAAATTAGCAGCCGTCTTTTGAGCATGCGATCTGCAAACGCCCTACTTGAGTTGCCCCAAGCTCCTGCGATCGTGCCTGCGGGCGTACTAGTTCCTGCCCTTCTGATTGATAACCTAGCAGGTGGCTGTATTGTCTTTCATTACTTCTCTTTGCTTGCATGTGGAAATTTCTGCGCTCGGATTCATGAAAGATGAGCATCGGTTCTTTAATAAAATTGATTTTCATTCTACCTCGTTCTCAAGATTCAAAGTGATTTTTAATAATTGATGAGCTAAACGAAATTTGCAAGTTTCTAAGGATGTTCTGGTGGTATTCATCTGTGCTTGAATTATATTGTAGGTATGCCTCCTGCCAAGACTCCTGTCTCATCTAAAGACATCCCTTCACCAAGGCCTATCAAAGTGGAGGCTCTACATATTCCAGACACTGCCCAGCATAAACATCGCCATATGCATGCCTCAGATAAAAAGAGCGAGGGAGCCACAAATTCGCAAGTTAGAGTGGCAATTCTGACAGTGAGCGATACGGTAGCAACTGGTGCTGGCCCTGATCGCAGGTGAAATTCATTTTTAGATTTTTGAAAAAAATTCGACGGTTATTAAGTGTTCGAAGAGTGCTGACATCCTGTACTTGCCACTCCTCTTTGTTTTGAACATTTATAGTATGTTAGGAGCTTGTAACTTATCAATGGTCGGTATCTGGCCAATTTGTTTAAGGGATTCGTGACGTATAGATTGCTGAACGCTAAATAATATTAGTACACGTGCTGTTTGGTGCTGTCTAGTATGCCATCAGAAATCTTAGCGCAAGGATAACTCGTTCGAGATGCTAGGATTTTGTTAGTGTTTTTGTCCTTACAGTAATTTCCTGAAACTATGCAGTGGACCAAGGGCAGTGGAAGTTATAACCAGTGTTTCAGAACGCCTTGGGGGAGCATCAGTTGTCGCCAGTTCCGTGGTGCCTGATGATGTGGAGGCAATTCAAGAGGTGTTGAAGCGTTGGAGTGATATTGATAAAGTCAATCTTATCCTCACAACTGGTCTGCCCCACATTTATTGCACCTCTTTCTGCCTGTGACCTGTTCTCTGCTCTGGTGTGATTTCTAAGTCTAATTTTGCTTCATCACGTTAACCTTCATACGGAGCAGAATGTAAAATTGGCTCGCGGACTTTCCTGTTGTGGACAGGTGGAACTGGATTCACACCCCGGGATGTGACTCCAGAAGCAACGCGACCATTAATACAAAGAGAAACTCCAGGCCTGACTCAAGTTATGCTTCTAGAAAGCCTCAAGGTAACCTATTTTGAATTCTCTCAACCCACTGCACTGAGCTCCATAAATCAGAGAAGGCACTCATATATCTTCGGCTGGCGCTGCTTCATTTATTCGATGGTGTTGAAATCAACGGTTAAGGTGTAAATCCATCATGATGTTTCCAGATCCAAGGCTATCACGTCATCCCCGTGCTTTTGTTTTGCAGGTAACACCCACAGCAATGCTGTCACGAGCCGCTGCGGGAATTCGAGGATCTACCTTGGTAAGATTCACTCAGTAATAATCACATCTGTATTTATGTGATCAATTTGGAATTCCAACTTTGAACAGTATTCGAACTCTTTTTCACAGTTTGGACGGTAGTTTTTGTAGCTTCATTTTGCCCAAGTCCTAGGTAGATTTCTGTAGTACGCATTCCATTATCATTTTGGCATGTGTCACGATTTCTGTGAGACCAAATAAACAAAAGAATCAACCTGACTGAAAGGGGAGTTCTCCTGAATTAAATGCAGATAATCAATATGCCTGGCAACCCCAACGCAGTAGCTGAGTGCATAGAAGCCTTGATGCCAGCTTTGCCTCATGCTCTGAAGCAACTTCGAGGAGATAAACGGGAGAAGCATCCAAATCATGTCCCTCATGCCGCTGCACGCCCAGCTAATTCAGACGTATGGACGAAAAGCTACCTTGCCTCGATAGAAACTCAGCCCACAGAAGGACCTCTTGTGGACAAGCCTTGCAATTGCTCAATTGAAGGTTGATGGATGGCTGGCTTCGTCAACGAAGCCCCTCTCACCGGAAAGATGTGCCTTCAATAGACTCAACCTTGTCTACTTTTTGACTTGCGTGCTCACTACTATTAAGACAAGTTTCTATGAGTCTTCTATTGTTGAATTAGAGGAATAAAATAGAATCTATTCAACAAAGGTTGCATTTGCTTAATTTTCCAATGTCTACACAAGTAATGGTAACACGATAGTGAGTTAAAAATCAATCGAGTCTCTAAGCTGCAACAGAAGTGTAGTCCTTCCAATACACCATTATCCTAAACAAAAAGTTTAAATGCTGTTACTTGCAAATTAGGTAATTATCATTATCGAAATGTGTTACTGAAAACAATTACGTGATAGTGTGAACTAGTGAAGAAATTGTAGTATTTTATCTATATTTGATTAATTTTGTTTTGAATCTGTAACTTATCATTTGAATGATTGTGAAATTGTGCATATAAATGCAATCGAGTCTGGGAGTCTTAATGAAATATGGCTACTAATAAAATAAGACTAGAAACCAAAAACAAAACAAAATAGGTGGTATAAAGTAAATTGCCTAATGTTTCCAAATTAGTCCAATAGAAGAAAATAGAAATTAATATAAAGTGTTTAAAAGTTTATAAATTTAAACAAATAGATAGGTTGAACTTTTTAAAGACATGAGATCTAAAATAATGTTACAATTTATTTATTTATTATTCACTTAACTATTAAAAGATATTATAATTTAAAATGTAGTGGCAAAATGCATAAGTAATGGAACATCATATTATATCAAATTTAAGGTATAATTGATTATAATATTAAAGACTCCTATTGTTGTTTAATTTATTCAAATGTAAAAAATCATGTTTTTTTTACTTCATATAAAATTTGATATTTTGCTCTTACACTTGCATTTAGAATACAAAAAGATACAATTTGTATTAGGCTTAGGCTACAAGCATACTCCAAGTTGCTATATACACACCTCAAATTGCTACATGCACATATAAAACAAATAGAGGCCTCTAATTGGCTAGTTGATGTTATGTAAGGAATGATATCTACAATGATTGTAGGATCAAGGAGCAAGCAACTCCTTTTGGCATATCCACTGACTAGTTAGTGGACAGGATTTTAGAGGGCACAACCTCCTAAAAGAAATTGAACTTTGTTCCTAGTTTTGTCACAACTCCTAATCTTACAAGTCCTAGACTTCTTCTCTAACTCCCTGGTCTTGCATCTTTGATATGTCTCACCTCTGCAAGCCTCCCTCATACTTGAAACCACACATTCATGATTATGGTTGATGTAGGATATGAATGTGGATGAAGTGAAGACATAGATACAGGATAAGGTTCTGACAATGATAATTTCCAATCTTCAAAAACCAAAGCTACAAATGAGGTAGATAGAGATTGTATGAGGGATGGAGGCACAAAAGTGTAGTATAGTAGTTGGTTGGAGGTGTGAGCAAAACTAAAGTAACCACTACTAAGGGATTCATGGCAATGCTAGAATACAAATATGTAGTATTTTGTTGCTTCCTCAGAATAACTGTCATATGGAGTAGAGGGATCTTGATAATTGCTGATAGTTTTAGAAGTTATAGTGTGTCCCTATGTTGAGTGGCCCTCATGCTTTGTACACAAATCATAGACCATGCAAATGAGAAAAACATGATGCACTAAATTTTTATGTCTAGACTTACAAAGGCTTGTATGAAAGGGGAGAGGGAGGTGTGTTTTCTTTTTCCATGTCAATGTGCATGCATGATTATGATCAAATTGTTATATGCCACAAAAACAGAGAACTTTCATGGATAACTCTCATTTGCAAGGCAAGAAATATTGAATTGGTCAATAATCCAACAACATTGAATGACCTTGAATAACATAGATGAAGCTTGCAAAGATGAGACATATTTAAGGTGAGACATATCAAAAGTGTGGAACTAAGAGTTGAGGAGGAAGTCCATGACTTGTTGGAAGACTAGGAGTTGCAACAAAACTAGGAACAAAGTTCAAATTATTTTTGGAAGAGTTTGCCCTTGGAAATTATGTTTGCTAACCAGTTAGCAAGACCACTAGAGGGAGTTGTCTACCCCTTGACCCCACAGTCATTGCAAATGTCAATCTTCACACAACACCAACTAACCAAACAAAGGCCTCCATTTATTTTGGATGAATGTGTAACAATTTGAAGTGTGTACATGGCAACTTGGAATGTGCTTGTTACCTAAGCCTTTGTATTAACATACAACTGGAATAGAAACCTTGATATGCAAAAGACATGAACAAGCAGTGTCCTTGACTACTTCATAATACATTGCAGTATAAACTTTTAAGAGTAGATGCTGGACAAAGCAGTACATTTGGATCTGCCATGCAGTGTAAAGCAGATCAGAATCTTTAGGTCACGAACGCTTGATCTCGACATTAGCCGAAGCGAAATGAAAAATGAACGATCCTCATAATTTGCATGCAACGATGTTTGCCCCAAGAACACGCATTTAGGATGTGCCCTCCACCTTCTAGTGGGAAAAACATTGAAAAGCGAAAATATTAACTGGCCATTAACCAGCTAACTCACTTTATGATTGTCATACTTGAGAATGCTCAAACAGTCGCTACTTAATTAGCTCGGATATTGAACAATTGACTTAGCATCAATCTTCATCCATACTGATCTGGACTTCTGGAAGATTCCACATATCTTCTTTCAGAACTGCTTTTTCAACTTTCATAGGGAAAATTGACACATTATGGTCTTTCTGACCACGGTTTCTACTGTTGAGCAACTCTCTGTGAATCTCCGGTGTCACCTGCACGAAGTATAAGAACCAACCCAGTCTTCAATTCCAAAAAATAAACAGCGTTCCAGCTCAGAGAGCCGTTCCCACAAACCATGTTGGGCGCATTTCTGATTTAATAACCGAAAAGAAACATACCTGATAATGCTTTTGTCTCCGCGTTAACTGCTTTAGCCTCTCCTTGTCTTCCTCGCTCAGCTCATTCTTATACCTATGCGAGATTTGCACAACTAGTTTTAGAGTCTTGCTTTACAAGACTGAAGCCACATCGAAAGATATTTATCTCCTAGGATATAATTTCTCACGATTCGAATCACTTTAAACTTCAGCTACACAATCAAACGTTACCTCTTCACCATTTGAGGATAAGAGATGATTAAGTCTAGATCAAAAAAACAAGCTCAGAACAAATCCATTAACTGCCGAAATAGATAAATTATTTAAGACATTACCTTTGAACAAACGTGAGCAGAGATTGGTGCCAAATAACGGGAAGATCACGATCATCCTCAATAAACCTCACAAAATGAGACAAAACTGCATCCAGGACTCTGTACGGCAGAGCATATTTCTTGTCCAATAAAAGCTTCAAGAAATAACTGCAAAACAGTAACAAAAATTGAATGTTTACACATGAGTTGGACGTTAATTTCTTTCTCGAATAAACTAATCCAAACACAGGCTTCTGCATATCTAATTATAAGAACTACTTTAACTATTTCAATTGACTATCGTGGTTTACACTACTAAAAATTGGCATTTGCATCTACGACGAAGAACAAGAACCAACTGAAGCTTGGATAGTATTAATGGCAGTAGTTTCAAGAAACAACCAAATAATAAAAATAGCAACTGTTTGTTAATTCAGTTTAAAATTTAGAAATGTTTCTTTTTGTCCTTCGCCAGAAACTAGCATTGTTTCTAATACAACTATAATGGATGATTTCGATGTACCTGTTTGTGCCACAATACTCCATCTCAGCAATTTTCAGTAGTGCGACACTGCAAAAACAAGAAGACCGCATGACAAATGAAAAATCTTGAAGAGTAACATCCACATCCAAGCATCAAGTATGGAAAACTACTGGGTTCTAACATAGCATGGGTCATTATTCCAGTTGTCATTGCACATAAAACTGAATCTTCCTGCAAACTGCTGATAAACTGGGTCTTAAGAGGATTCACGATTGACTCGGATCTGCAGTAAATCACCACATTAATATACCTCACGTTCCCATCGTTCACTAATAAATTTTCACTTGTTGACAATAGTGACTTACACTCACTACAAACCAGTTCAGTGTGTGACTGTTTATATCTCACCTAGAATGTAAAACAGGGATTGAGACCTTTTGAAGCACGCTCCCAACAATAACAGCCTCCCGCAGGTTGCATGTTCTGGACTGCAAGAAATATGAAGTTCATTAGGAGAACTAAGTGAATCTTCACCATGAACATGCTATTGGGAGCATTCAAAACTATAAAAGTCAATGTCCTTGAATAGCAGCACAATATTCTGCAACAAACAACCATTAGAAAAAATTCGCTTTCCGTAGATTCTCCAAGTTCATTAAAAGAAATTCGCCCACGTGTGACTCCTCTAACAAGTTACTATTACATTACCTGGCAGAGGGGAAGCAGAAGGCCTTTATAAAATGCTGAAGGTTTGTAGACAGCCTTCTTCATAGCTTGGTAAAGAGCAAAGTGAAGTCTCTTGTGCTCCCTTATGTCGTTTCGGATTCTTGGTAGGAGGACCAAATTATAGAAGCGCTGGGCCATACGTGCATTCAAGTTGGAGGCAAAAACTCTAGTGACCTGATACATAGCATTTGGAGACCATCTCTCGGGCTCTGTTAAAAATAGCACGTCCTCCCAATTGGAAAGTGAAGGAATAATTTTAAAAGCTTTAGGTAACTTGCCCGCCCGATATCTACTGAGCAACTTGCCCACCCTGCACAATTACATCGCCAAAATTTACAAAAACTTATCTTTCTTCTAAAGCAGGAAAAGCCCTAGACGCTAAACTCTTATACAAGATACCTCCAAAAATGTGCTGATAGTACAAAATACCAAAACATTAACCCAAGAAATGTCCCGATACTTATTAGCTGAAATATACCACATTGCTGGCGGAGGATAGAACGACTAGAAGACATACCCCTGATAAACCTCTATAATTTTGCAATCTACGCCCGGTATCGTTCGACCTTCACCTGCATAGCAACAGGACAATGAACATTTCGCATGTACTCCAACGTGAAGTTAATCACAGAACATCCTCCTAACCAAGACTTCGTAATTGACCAACTAGAATACGTTCGATTAATGCTATATACTGTAATCGCTCAAAAAAAATTCAACATTTGATACAGAAATGTAGCTGACCTTCCACTTCGGCAGCAACCGTTTCATCCCCACCCTTATTGTTAATCCGCTCCATAATAATATCCGCTAATGTTAGTTGTGGAGCTGTATCAGAAGCCATAAACATTGACATAATTCTTTCATCTTCTTCTGTTACTTCCTGCAACATAGTTTCAAATAAACGTCAGATGCTACCGCTGTTTTTCCTCCACAATCTCAAAAGAGACATGAAAAGCTTTCAAGATAACACCCAGATGCAGCGTTCTAACGTGATAGATGTAATAAGTGGTAAATATTTACCTCGAATTCTTCAGTTTGTTCTTCCCCATCAGAGAACCCATCGTCGTCGTCACTGTCACTGTCCATCCTTTGATCGGGAATAGCAGCAGTGAAAGCTCTTCTTGTAGCTGCAACACCTGTCTCTTCATCCCTAGATTATGATAAGTTCTTAGGTCTCACAAATGCAAACCAGATGTGACTTTCAAAAAATATTTTAGCAACCAGCAGAAGAATTTGCTTGAAGAGCATCTAATCTTCTACAATCCTGTGGCTTGTTTAGCACCTACGTGCAACTTCAAGTTGAAGTCCAACAAAATTTAATACAAAATTAATGTCGTTGGCATGTTTGTTCCTTCCGACTGGTACATTAAAGCCTAAGAAACATCACTAATAATTACCTCTCGTTATCAATTTCCAATTGCTGCATCCTTGCTTCACTGAGAATTTTATTACTCATCACTGGAGTCACATACTGCAACCAAATACATGAACACAATTACTAACAGAGGAAAGACCGTACATTACATAAACAAATAAATAAAAACAAACAAACAAACAAACAAAAACAAAAGTAGATAAAAAGTGTCATCAGTATTTACAAACTGGTCATGAGATTGGACGATAAAGGTGAATTAACACAGACGGAAGCCCGACATACCACAACAGTAAGTTGCCTGAAAAACTCCGAAAATCGGAAATGCAACCAATCAGTACCTCATCGGTAGCTTGCTGGCGATTACGATTTCTCGGATGCCTGCGCTTTGGTGGCAAAGCCTCATGGCTCTGCTCCATCTGATCAGCCAAGCTAAGTACATGTTTCTCAGCCCCTGCATCTTTTCGCTTCTTCTTATCCTGTCCAGGAGCCCTCGGCTGTGAGTGGCTCGCCATTATGACAAACTACACAATCAGCGACAGCGGAGTTCCTCTGAAAATGTAGCCTTCTATCACCATAAATGCACAACACAGCTAAGGTTCTCTCCTCTGTCTCTTCAACGCCCCTTTCCCAACTGAACACAGCTGCAAATGGACTCAAAAATCCTCGTCTTCCTCCCAGCAATCTTCACCGACAGAACACCGCACAGGTGCTTCTACGATAAGTCTAAGACAGGGTTCCGCAGTCGAAATCTTAGCATGGAACGGAAGTATCGAGCCCGTGCATGAGATGAGGACCCTGCCTCAGCAATGCCTGTAACAACTGACATCGTCAAAACCCTAAAACATCATCTCTCAACACAAACCCTGAGTGTATATATAAAAGCTCGTTTCACACCGCCAATGTGAAAGCGTCGGTATAATTTGCTGAGTTGCACTTGACGGCTATTTCTTTGATTACACGACTCCTTATTATCACCATAACAACTGCATGCATCCTACACATGCTTTAATTGTGACTTCATTTTTTACCTTTTTTAATGCTTTTGTTTATGCAATACATACCTATTATGAAAACCAAATGTAATATGAAAGCAAGATGGACATCATTTGTTGTAAATGAAATGTGCCAGAAGCCAAGGGGAGGGCACTTCCAATGTCTTAGTTAAGAGCTAGATAAGTCTTAGCTTTTGGTACATGTAATATAGGACATTTAATACTCCTCTTGAAGAAGTAGGACTTAATTCTATACTAAAGCAAGACCTAACATATCCCTAAAAGCTAGAAACTTATCTCTAGAAAGAAGTTTTGTGAAAATGTTTCTTGTCATCTATTCCATGGGACAATATTTCAAACCAATTTGTCCTTTCTTCATACATTGCCTAATAAAATGATGTTTTGTATCCCAATGCTTTGTATGACTTTGGTGTATTGGATTCTTGGCAATAATTATGGCATTGTTATTATCTTCATAATAAAAATCCTCTCTGATTCAAGAATGTTATAATTTCTAAATACTTTATAAAGCTACAAAGTCTCCCTTGTTGCAGCTGCCAAAGTTGCATACTCTACCTCTATTAATAAAACAAAAACTAAAGATTGTTTCTTGCTTGAGCAAAAGATAATTGTCCCATCTAATTTAAATGGATAATCTCTTACTAAACGGCACATCTCCTTACAACCTTCTCCATATGTATCACTATAGCCTATAAGTTACAAATTTGTTTCTTTTTCTTTATACTATAATACTAAATATTTTTTCTCTTACAAATAACAAAATATTTGTTTGATTCCTTGTCAATGCAAAACATATAGATGTGCCATGTATTGAGCAAAGTGTTGACAAGCAAATACAATGTCATACCTTGTATCATTTTCAAGGTACAATAACAAACCAAAAGCTTTTTGATAATACCTTATACCTTTTGCATCCAAAAGATCATCATTCTCATGTTTAGTGACATAACTTTGTACCATTGGTGTAGCAATTGTCTTTCCATCTTTCATTCTAAATTCTTCCAACCTTCAAAAAAAAAATATTTAATTTGGCTCAAACTAATATTATCATGTTTTTTCATCTTGCAAAAAATCAGTGTAAAGAAAATCACTAGATTCACCAAGGTCTTTCATCTTATAGTACTCTTATAATTTATCCTTATATTTCACAAGGATCTCAAAGTTCTTGCCACTAATAAGTACGTCAGTGATATAGATAATTAATACAAGAACTAATTTTTCAATATACATTGTGTATAAATAAGAGTCTAATTCTAAGCAATTCCAACTAAGATTGAATAAAGATTTATTCAAACTCTCTTTCTATCTACATTAAGATTGCTTCAAATCATATACAGTTTTTAGCAATTGCAACATCTTACCTTTGTATTTCAATGGAACTTCCAAACCTTTTGGAATTTTCATACAAATATCATCATCTTTGAGTTTGTCATTTAAATATGCTGAAAGAATATCAAATTACAACATATTCCAATTAAAAATAGTGGCAATTGTAATAAATATACAAATTGTTACAAGGTGAGCAATTAGTACAAAAAATTCTTAGTAATTAAAACATTTTATTTGAGTAAAAACTTTTGCAACCAATCATACTTTAAAACATTCAATGGAGCCATCATTCATATATTTATTCTTAAAAATCCATTTCAAATCTACAACCTTCCTACTATTGGATAAAAATAAAAATTCTCATGTACCATGATTTTTCAAAGAATCTAATTCTTCCTTCATGGAATGACTCCACTCTTTGTAAAAAGGTGAATTCATAGCTTGTTTAATAGTCTCTAGTTCTACATATTCATTAACATGAACAACATCTATTGTTTCAATCAATAAGTCATAATCTCCTTGAATAAAGTTATTGTCTTTTTTTCAAGATGTGCAACATATCCTACTACCACTTATAAAATTTATTGGATCAATGCCACTTATATAACAACATCTTGGTAGTAGAACTTGAGTGATTGCCTCTACTTCTAGTTGATAGGATTCTACTACTTTTGTTGGTATAAGATTTGATTCTTCTTCAACTATTACTCCATCCAATCCATCATGCACATGTAATCTTAAAACTTAAGGTTGGAATATTTCTAATTTACTTTGATGTTGAAAATCTAATAAATTAAGATTATTTCTATGATCTATATCTTCTCCAATTTTCTATTGAAGAATCAATGACTCATCAAGTAACTCATTTTTATTATTAAAAAAAATCAAATCTTGACTAAGAATCATCTTCTTTTTTTTAGATATAAAAATTTCATATTCTTTTACTATTTTTGAATATCCAATAAAATTATCCTTTTTTGTCTTTACAACGAGTTTTTGATGTTTTTCCTTTGGTATGTGATACAAAGTTGGAAAACCAAAGCAATGAGTGTTTTGACGAAAAGATTTTTCATTGTAAGAAGATAATTGTAAGTCCATTTCACAAATTTTGTTGTAAACATTCAATATTGATAATCCAACTTGGCATTGTTTAGAAGTGTTTATATTCTTTCAAAAATAGTCCGCATCATATGCTTTGCCATGCCAACAATTTCATATATATATGCAAGAGTGATCATGTGTAAAATACCTTTAATTTTGAAGTGAGAACTAAGCTTATTATTCAAGAATTCAGTATCTTAATCAATGAAAAAAGCTTTTATCTTTCTTTAAGTTCTTTTTTGTACCTTTGCTTCCCAATTCTTATAAGCAACATGTATTTGGTCCTTTATTTGAAGAAATACAAGGCTACATCAGACAAAATATTCATCAATCTATTTAGCTAACTATTTGGTACCACCAAAGCTAGTTGTATCAAAATAACCAAGGTCAGATACTATTACATCTAAAATACAATTCGCATGCTTATACTTCTGTGAAAAAAAAAATTCTATGAGCCTTGCCAACAATGCATGCTTCACACATAGGTATTTTATTCTTCTCTTCCATGATCTTCAATCCTTCAATATAATTCATCTGCTCTACCTTTTGCATTATATGTATTGAAGCATGTATTAATGTTTGATATCATTCAATAAAAGTATGATTTAAAATAGATGAACTAAAAATTGTGGCAACTTTTTTAATTTCACAAGGCATAAGATAAGGTTTACCAAGTAACATACCTTATGTAAGTAAGTCACCTAAAGATAGAATCTAATTGACTCTATTGACATCTAAGTTAAATTTTTAACATTTCTTGCATAAAGTTGCAACTGATAATAAAGTATCACATGCTCTAGGAATCTAGTGGACATCCTTCACAACTACGAGAATGTATTTTTTTGATAGAATCTAAAATTTTGAGATAAATCTCACTTGAGCCTCGTGATTTGCTAATGTCACTATCATAGCCTTAGAGTTGGATAGTCACTTTTTCATCAAAATTGAGAAGCTTACTCTTGACTCTTTGCATGTGTACATCCATTGCACTATCAATGTATATATAATGCCACAATTGAGACAACAATGCAATCATTATTTTTGAATTCATTGATGCCTCTCAAGTTGAAAAAAAATGAAAACTCCAATATTTATTATACCATTGTTGTTTGTTTTAGGACATTCTAAATCACCTCATCAATGCACCTTCTATCTACAAGCCCTATAAGTACTTCTAAACTTATCAATCTTAGTCTTTTGTTTTTATTATGGATGGTATTTTTTTAAGACTTACTTTCATTTTGCATATACTGCTAAAGTAAGAAATAGAGAACTAATCTTCTCCTTCCTTTGCATGTGCTCCTCAAAGAGTATAGATTGCACTATCTCTTCCGTAATTTCTTCTCTTTTCTTTGATGCAACTGAGTGAATAAATAGAGCTTAAAATTTTGATAATACAATAAGTATAAAAAATACCATCTTTTGTTTGTTGATTTTACTACCAGCTTCAATATATTGATTCTTAAGATTAAAAATCTCTTTAAGAAAAATCTCCATAGATTCTTCATCCACATATCAAAGATTATACAATTTCTTCATTAAAAATATCTCAATAATTACTCCTAAGGGCTTGCGGATCTTAGCCAATACGTCCCACATCTCCTTTGTAATATTACATTTCTGTATATGAGTTAATTGCAAAGGCTTAATATTGAGTACAATCAATGCTTGTGCTCCTGCTTTGCTTGATTCCTATTTTAATTTTTCATCAATATCTATAGGACATTTTAATGTTATATCTACATCCATGAAGAGCTTCCAAATGTACATCATATATTTTATAACAAATGCCTATGTGCCATTTTTTTTTTCCATCTAATTGATCAATACAATGATCCATTGAAGATGCCATTGCCAAATATAATAAGTACAATAGGAACAAATTATTATAAAAGAAAAATTAATAAATAATCTACAAAATATAATATTTAGAAAGTAGTAGTAGTATCAAGCTATATTGGAGCAAAAAAAACTTGATTTCACTACTAACAAAAAATGGAATTTAATTAAATAAAAATCAACATCAATAGAAATAAATTCCAACTCCAACATGGCTCTAGCAACTCCATTAGATTCTTCGCTTTGGCAGCATTCTTACGGCGATGGAGCTTTAGCAGTAGGCAAAACATCCATGTTTTCATCTACAAAAAACATCCATTTTTCATACAAACTTTGTCCAATGATATTTATCCATAGCACTATTCATCTAGCTTTGATATTATGTTACAAAAACCAAATGTGTTATGAAAGTAGAATGAACATCATTTGTTGCAAATAAAATGTGCTAGAAGCTAAGGAGAGGGCACTTCCAATGGCTTAGTTAAGAGTTAGATAAGTCACAACTTTTGGTACATATAATATGAGACATTCAATAATAACTCAAAAGGTAGTAATTTCTTTAAAATCTCATGAAAAATATAGTTAATTATTGATTGTTGCAAATGCATTTGTTGGTAGTTATGACAAAATTGGAGTTGTTATCTAGACTATAAGTAAAGAATATGATAGCATATTGAAATTGTGGAGCATCCTTTCACAAGTTTATGACATAAAGGATGTAGAGCATGACAATCAGCAAGCCTACTAATCTTCTAAGAAATGAACAAAATTGTATTAAAAAGTGTCACAAGTCTTGTGGGTATATATCACAGTAGTCTTAGATGATGAAAATTGGCATTTTTATACATCACTTAGGGATGTAAAGCCCTTGCCTTCAAGAGTATGCATGCTAAAAGTTTTTGTTTAATTTTTTGTTTTTAAATGTTATTTGTGTATCTAAGGACACACGGATGAGTTCGATGACTGAGGTTGGATGGGTGATTTTCGGTCGAACGATCCTGTGCCGAGATGCGGTTTTTCATGCACTTGCACCACTTGGCGAAGCACAGGAGTACTCCATAACGTATCACAAGCCCTGGAATATGATGAAGTAGGCTGCAGTCGGGATTATCAGATCACTCACGGATGCCTAAACTCCCTGGACCAATCCTCTCACAAGCGGCTCAGGGGAGACTGCGGCGCAGAGAATCGAAATTACTAGGCCCAGAGCGTCGCGATGGCGAATGCGAGAACCTTGCAGGTGTTGCTTCTGGGCCTCGTGAGTTCAGCTGTCATCTTCAATTCAGGTATGCATGTGTTCGGTTAAAGCTGCCCTTTGATCACATCTACTCGACGTCCAGTGGCCAGACATTTTCATTTTATCACTCCGTGATCGAACGAGCTCAACCGATCGATATAAAGAGAGTAATGTTTTCCTTGAAGTGTGACTCTTGAAGGTTGTGGATTGTGTACCATGTTCACTTCTGAGTTTTGCTCTGTAAAGAGCATCTTGCATTATCAGCTGCTGGGTACATGGTGTCTTCACAAGAACACCATGAGTCTCAGATGATGTGACGCAGCTGCAATTGAGTCCCCCGTCAATGAACACCATGTTCACGGTCGGAGCTGATGTACGTTGTCGATTCGAAGTCAAGTTGTCTTCGGTCAATATCCAAATCGGTATTGTTGGTTTGTAATCTCATGGATATGTTCGTTGCAAACTGGTCGTACACTCATAAGACATAGACTTATGACTCGATCAGAACCGCAATATCTGTAATTACGAACTTGTGAAAGACTTGAATTAACTCAATGGATGTCGAAGAGCCAGTGAGTTTGCGAATTCATGTCTAGTGTTTGGATCAGATTTGCGTTACATTCGATTTTGTCTATATTTTTGGTTGTTGGAATTTGAAACGTGTGCAGAGTCCGATAATGAATCTGACACCAAATTGGAAATCGATTGCAGTGAATGTGCAGGCGACTAGTTTGCTGTTTGCGTTCGGAGACTCATATGCTGACGTAGGAAACACGCTCAAGGGCATCAGTCCCGCGTGGCGATACCCCTACGGCATCACATGGCCACTGCACGATCCTGCGGGTCGATTTTCCGACGGCAAGATTTCAACAGACTGGATCGGTAAGTCTTTGAAGACCATCCTATCTGCATCTCCCCTAGCTTTCGTCAGCAATTGAACAGGCTTCACCTCTAACTTCGGTGAGCCTTACACGAGGCACACATTTCCGTGCATGTCAGCAAGTCCGACATGGTAATCTTACAAATCAAAGCAAACGATGTCGAGAAATCCGGAGAAAGCAAGTTTCTATCTTGACTTTTTGTTCCTTTTAGCAACTCAGTTAACTTGGATGCTTGCTGCGAAACCCATGAAGCTTTGAGTTTCTATTGTCGCTGTGCAGTTCCGTGACTGTTACAAATATTGAAAAAAGTTTCTAAATTAGCAAGCTGACTGGAGATCCCCCCCCCCACGTGGACTTTGTTGGAATGCCACACTATTTTTGCTCAAATTAGTTGCTCACATATCTACCTGCATTTTGACCAGTTTCTACTGTACCTACAAATATCCCTTGTGAAGCGTTGGTCTATGAAATCCAAAATTTGTCGCTGATCAAAGTGGCAATGTTGTCATTGAAAATAGGGTGGTTCCACGTATCACACAAAGGCAACCATATTGTTTTACTGAACCAAGAGGCATGAATAGATTCACTTTTAAGCGGCCTTTTGCCTTTCGTTATGTCCTTATATCCATCTACATTCTCGTACAACATGGGGCCTAGATGACGGCAATTTCCAGGCCACCGAACTGGATTCGCCTCGTAGGCGGTTAGGTTACTCTATGTGAACAAGGATGTCTGTAAATTTGCCCAGAATTATGGTCACCGTGACACTTCATCGACAAGAACAACTTTGTTTATTCGCTTAGAGAATGTGAATACCGACATTTGAAGAAGCTGGGTGATGTGTATTATGCCCGATTGTAAGTTTCATGAACTCGGCTAACTTCAATGCCTGTTACTGTGGACGTGTAGCGGACCTGTTGGGGCTTCCCTTGTACCCACCTCCGTACCTGTACACCGCCGGTGAAAACATTTCATATGGCGTGAACTTCGCAGTTGGAGGCTCAGGCGTCTTCAAGGTACTCAGCAACGTCAGTTTGGACGTGCAGGTTGACAATTTCGAGCTGTTCCTCCGCACCGATCCTTACTCTAAGGCTGCTCTTGAGAACTCAGTGACATACGTGTCCGTGGGTGGAAATGATTATTTGGCTTTTAGGGGAACGACCGAAGCAGTGAGTCTTAAACCTAACGTTTCTAATCACCCCATTATCGTGTTCAAATCTTGTTTGTCTTTAATCAGACTTCGTAGACTTTTCACAATGGTTCGGATTTTGTTGTACAACAGGAAAGGTTACTGTACATAGAGAGGGTGATTAGGGGAATTCAAGCTAATTTGCAGCGGCTTTACGACCTCGGCCTCCGCCATGTCATGGTAGCAAATATACCTCAACCCGATTGCCTTCCACTCTTTACCGAGAAGAACAACTGGACCAATTGCACAGGTGAGACAGGTCCACTGATAAATATCCATAATTCCTTCCTTCTCGTAGCCGTCGAAAACATCAATGCTCGTAACCCGGGAGCGCGCTTCATCATATTGGACCATTACTCCGCGTTCAGTCGACTGCTGTCGGAAGCGGATGAGCAGGGTTTCACCGATGGTTTGAAGCCATGCTGCACGGGTACCACGAACACAACAAAATGTGGCGATGTCGACGCATCTGGAAAGTGGCTATACACCGTATGCAAGCATCGAGGGAGGGCTCTCTTCTGGGACTCCGAGCACCCTACCATGTGGGCATGGCACTACATTATCGACCTCTACACCAAACAACCCAATTACATTTTGCTGGCTGGTGTTCCAACTTTGAGGGATTGGTTGCAGAACAACAATGCTGCACCGGAGCCCACCGCCGCTCTCATGTCCCAACCTGGTGAGTCGATTCTCCCATGTCAGCGTGAAAGCTAGTGCTACCATCCTTTAGCTTCATGGTTCGTGTCCCTGATAGCTCCGTTCGCTGATCAACGCTCTTGATGACGTGGTTAGGTTCAGACTTGTTGAGTGTTGCCGGACAAGTTCAAACTGCGCTCAACTGCTTGTTGGACAAGCCGAATTATTCTGAAGCACTCGGCGTTCTCCAATCGTTCAGCTTGGAAGCCGTTCTAGCGGAGAATCTTGGCGAGGATGTTACTGTCTTCATCCCCAGCAATGACGCATTCGCTGCCACTGACCAGGCTTTTATCGATGGGGTATTCTCGATGAACAAGGTGAACGATGTCGCTGCTTACCATGTCGCCAACGGTTACTTCGACTACAACACCATAGCCACAGTGCGGCCTTCATTCGTGATCTCGGTAACAGGAGAACAGCTGCCGATCTACTATCCTCTCAAGGGGGTTTTCGTCGGATTGGGTTCGCAAGCCGAGGTTGTCGACCCCGACTTGTGCGTCATGCCCGACGAAATGGTGATTCACGGCATCGACCATATCCTCATGCCTCACAACTTCTGAGCAAAACGCGTGCATGCTACTGTGCTTCAAATTTCTGACTGATTAGGAACTTAGATTTTACGGAATGCTTGTTTTAGGATGAAAAGTTTCTAAGGGAGAAATTTTGGTGCAACGCTCTCTGATCTGCACGAAGGCTGTTCCTGTGCGCTGCATCAATCCGAGAGGGAAGTTGAGAAGTGGAACAGGTATAAGCTATTTAAGAGGTCTAGAAAGTGTTGATGTAAATAGATGTACAGATTCTCTTGGAAAACTCTTTCGATGGTTCTGTGGACTGATTGCAAAGCTGGCGAGATTAGATTACTGCAAGCTAGAAACAGAATAACGTGAAAGTCTTTCAGCTGTTGTGATTTGTCATTACGGAAACTTTTCTTTTTTAACTTTTGAATATATATGTGCATAAATTAAGCCTTTGTGGTCTTTAATTTATTTCTGTAATTTCTTCGCTTACACCGTTGCTATGAGTTTCTTTCCTCGACTACCACTATCCATGTTTAACACAAGATCTCACATCCACACAACTGGAGTACAAATTTTTGTCATCAACACTTTCAGTGTACGTTGCATGGCTGAGCAGCACCGAAAATTAGCAGCCATGACGTTTCCACTACCACAGCCGAAATGTAAAGCGAATGACATCTGAAGACGTGAATTGGACTAGCATAGAGCAAATTTTCATAGACGAGGATGAGTCTTGCCAAGAGTATCAACAAGCGAAGTGTGTGTGTGACAACTACAACCCTTCGTTGATAACACAAACTGATCCCTAAATCCTGTTGCTTAGGAGAGTGAGTCTAAATGTAAGCCAAGCAATGGATGTAAATCCATATACACCATTCATGCTGTCGTTTTGGTAACTTTGTAGCAAAAAATTATAACACAAATCCCTTTCACAACGTGACAAATTTAATAAAGAATATGTGTTTTTTTTGTAAAACAGATGTCTTTTTGTTTTTTAAGTTCATGTTGAATTATCACATGTCAAATTTCACGTGCTGTGTTATGTAATTATGGGCTTGTTATCATAATGCTTCTTTACTGCAACCTTTTGGTTTTAAATTTCTATTGTGATGTTTTTATTTTAACAATAGCGAATTGAAAACCACAAGAATGTTTATTAAAATTAAAATCTGTAAGGCACTAAAATCTTGTTTTTTACCATGCAATATTGTGTCTATTTTTATGTTTGAAGTAAAATGATTGAAAATCGTTTTGACGTGTCGACCATTACTTTGCACATCACACATGCTTATAACAACCATGTTTTGCATACACAACATTTCACTTATGTTAAAAAAGTCAGCCCAATGTCAATTATAATCAAATGCTTGTGAGTTTTGCTACAAATATTCTCTATTTTTATTTTTGTTCTTGAGTAATCTTTTTCCAAACATAAATGAAATTAGAGATATGATAAATCATGGTTGAAATTCAGGGCTGATTATTTGAACATAAAAATAATTTAAAACTTGCAGCATTGACAAGATAAAAAAAAATCACAGGACTTGAGCATTCATTCTAGGCAAAGTTAAAAGAGAAAACGTTAATAGTCGTCTTGAAAATATATGCAATATTTTGCATACTCAAACTTGATCAATAAATCCAAGTGTACAACAGTTGCAAATTTGTAACAGAATCATCAATTCTTAAAATTAGGTTAAAACTTGTTCAAAGTATAACCAAATAATCATAAGTAGCAATGAGCTGTAAATTAAAACAGAAACAAACAAGTAAACAATAATAATAATTATTATTATTATTATTACTTGGATGCTAAATTATAATATAAATATAAAATGTCAATACAATGCCATTCATGAATGAATTGGATTTGATAGTATCTGACACTTTAGACAAGCATAGGAGGTGTTGAAAGATGGTTAAGAACCTGAATAAATTTTTCATTCTATAAACAATGTCATCACATACAAAAAATACAAATAAAAATAAACTTTACTAATAAAAAAATGACAATGTAGACTTCAGCAATTTCAAATACATTTCATGAAATTCATGGTAATACTACTACCATAAATGGTATGAAAGTTGAAATAATGCATTACTAACCATTTCTGTGTGGGTGTGCAAATATATATGTTAACACTCCCAATATTTTGAGTACGTGTGAAGTACTTGAATTTGATTACGGTTTATTTGTGTCTACATATAACACCATGCCAAAAGGATGGGAAACAGCACATAATTTATGTGTTTTTAAATGAAACACGAGGTATTTTCGATTCCACCACTCCAAATTTTAAACAGAAAATACATTGAAGAAATAACTTTAAACAGCCAGAAGGGAGGAAATGTTAAACACAAGCCAAATCACAGAATCTGCACCACAAATAGAGAAATATACTTGGAAAACTCATACAAAACATAACACTAAAAAACCCCACAAAAAAAAAAATTGTCAGGGGTGATATGAATTAATTTTGCAACTTGGAGGTGTTGGATAACGTGACACATCAAATGGCAAGTTAATGCCTACCTTCAAATATTATCAGAAACCCTAAACGAACATAACCCTTGCACTTTTGTGTTTTAAACAAAGCTTGTGTAGAGGACAATGAAAGGCGGCGATTTCCACTTCTCCACACAAGCACACATCCTTTTGCAGCCACAACAAGTACTACTTTTAATAACAATAGTTTCCGGAAACAGACTGATGCGGATGTTTCAATGTAACAAGGCACCGATTCCATGGAAGTGAACCCATAAAAGGCGACGGCCTCATCGTCGTTACGAGCTGTGAGCTCGTTCGCAACAGCCACGGATGACGCCCATCATCCACTCTCTTCTTCATCCACCAGATTAGGGTTTGTGTCTCGAGGCTTGAAGGGCTGGCCAATCCACTGACGGAAATCTCTTTCTTTCTCCAACGCCGGAGTTGAGCTGCGTTGCCGTAGCAGCCCAGGTTGTCTGTTTCCGATCCCCCGTTAGAAGCCATGGCTCCCAAGTCATTGAAAGCTTCCAAGAGCAAGGAGCTGGTGAGGGGCATCAACCGCAGCGGCAGGTCCAAGACCTACCACAAGCGCGGCTTGTGGGCTATCAAGGCCAAGAATGGTGGGAAGTTCCCTACGCACGAGAAGGCTGCGGTAGCCGCGGCTCCCGCTGTCCGTGCGCCGAAGTTCTATCCCGCTGATGATGTTGCCAAGCCCCTGCACAAGAACAAGGTCGTCAACGCTCCCAAGCTGAGGTATGTTTTATTTATTTAGGGTTTTTGTTTAGGATTGCTTCCCTTTCAGTTGAGATGTTTATGCCCTGCTATCTGGGAATTATTGGACAATTGAGAATCGTGGGTTGGGTAGAGGCGAAGGTTTAAGGTGAGAAGATGGCAATGTACATGAGGTTATGAAATCATAATCGTGGCATTGACACGCCACGATGCATATGGGGTTGTCTAGAATGTCAGCGCCAGACACCATTTTTTTGTGTTTTATTGTTTTTGTGTGTGTCGCTGTGTATGTGCCCAGAACTGAATTGTTTGTTTTGGTGTCGTTCCATGAAACGCATTCGCGAACGAGGAGTTTGTTGTAGTTGACTTGGTTACTGTTGCAACATTCAGGTCAAGCATCACTCCAGGGACAGTTTTGATCTTGTTGGCTGGAAACTTCAAGGGAAAGCGTGTTGTGTTCTTGAAGCAGTTGGAATCTGGACTGCTGTTGGTTACCGGTATGGAACTCTTCTATGATGGATGTAATTTCGGAGTTTGGCGTTGGTGGAAGCGGTTTGAGGGTGAAAGGCGATACCTGGCTGCGTATGATGCATGTGGACGTAGAATAGTGTTTGTGCGATGCATCACGGAAGCACTAAGTGAAGATCGTGGAGAATGAAGTGATGACGGTTGATAGTGGGGGATTGGGATAGCTTGCACATTTAACAATCTTGACACTGATGGGGGGGGGGAGTTGAGTGCGAGGAGGCAGAGGTCGGTGGTTGATGATTGTAGGGAACGATGTTGGCATGGTTGTGGAGGTCTGTGAACGTAAGAGTGTATTGTGCAGGACCATTCAAGGTGAATGGAGTTCCATTGAGGAGGGTGAACCAGGCGTACGTGATTGCGACGTCCACTAAGGTGGACATCTCGTCCGTGGACGTTGCAAAGTACTCCGACGCGTACTTCAAGAGGGAAGTCGCGAAGAAGAAGAAGGGAGAGGCAGAGTTTTTCGAAGCAGAGAAGGACGTAAGTGTTGCTGTGACGCAGGCCGCAAATGCAATGAGTCTTGCAGGGAGTCGGTAGTGGGGTGGTAGTGGGGAGGTGGGTTGTGGGTGGGTGTGTTGGGACGGTGTGAGGTTGGTATACAGATTGTAGATGCTAAGGTTGGGAAGGGATGGTGTTGTGCAGAAGGAGGAGAAGAGTTTGCCAGAGGAGAAGAAGGAGGACCAGAAGGCAATCGACGCGAAGCTGATCCCTCTGATCGAGGCAGTACCGGAGCTGAAGAGTTACTTGGGTGCGAGGTTTAGTTTGAAGTCAGGCGTGAAGCCACACGAGCTTGTGTTTTAAAAGAAGCAGGGAATGCGATATGAGTAAAGTGGTGGAGATTTGATGTCTGGAAATGTCGAGGAGTGGTGTTGTGGTGAAAGAGACATGGAAATGTGAACGATGGGGGTTTGATGTGGGAAAGAGCTGTTTGGATTAGGATGTCACTAATGAGATTTGTGTTAATGTGAAACGGCTTGATTAACGGTGGGTTTTGGAAACGAACGATTGATATCGATGACTCGTTTATATTTGCAGGATTTTTTATGGTATACTTTCTTCTGAGAGACCCGTAGTTTCGTATACCGCCGAAGAGTGGGATCTATTCAGTGCTTCTTCTTACGTGAAAGGATGTGAAATATGGATAATGACAAGGAAATCCAATGAATTCGAAATACTCAAATATCCCTTAATTAAAGTGAGTAGTTGGGGCATTGAAGTAATCATAGCTGTAAGCGAAACAAATTGCATCAATTTGTTGAGCATATTATTTTCAACTATTTCTTCAATCAAAACATTGCAAGAAGTAGCCGAACTTTCTGTGATGAAAACTATTGTAAGGTATTCGAATACGAAAATACATTTTTTCACAAAAGCTTGAGAAATCTAACTGTGCCTTAAAACATAGTCAATTCACAACGGTCTTTGATCATAGGCTGAACGCACCAGTGATCGTCCTCGCGCACCATTGATTGTTTGCTCCAGCACGACGTTGGTCAAGATTGTAACTTTTAAGATATCTTAAGACCAGTTCAGTACTCCGCTGGTCTTCCCTCCTCTAAACTAAACGGTGCCCAGCAGAGAGTGAACCACAAGTAGGCTGGCAGATGAATACGCCGAAGAATCGAGTGGTACATCGCCCTAGTTGGGATTGCGAGAGGCTCAACAATCCACAGTCGGAAAAAATGGAAATGAAATGGTGAGGAGACGAAAAATTACACCAAAGTCAGGCCGTGCTCGATGGCTGAATCAATTACAATAGCTAGCTTCCCTTCTAACTTCTCGTTTTTGCGAAGATCGAAAGCCACGGCATAAATATCCTGCTCTATGCTCCTCTCAGCAATAAGCTGCCCAATCAGCCTACAAGCATTGGCATCTGACAAAGAAGGCAAAGAAAGCCGCAAGTCTTTAGCATTCGTCGTCGCTACGGACACCACCGAGCTCGTCACGCGGTGCATGACCTTGGCGTGCACATACTTCGAGCTGATAAACACGTCCAAAATGAACGGCTTAAAATACTTCTCCGTGCGCTGCTTCCACGACTTCTTATTCTTGCCTGGTTGCCCCTTCGACCGTCGCGTCCACGCCGCTTCCACAATCCACGATACTCTCGACCTCAAATTCTCCTTCGAAACAGGAACGAAGAGCCCATGCGACGCGAACAACGCACTCGACCAGCTCACGGGAGACGCATTTCTCACCTGCAGGCAGCAATTTCTCTCCCTATCCGTCTCCTTTCTCGATTGCGTTACAGACAAACCTCCACGCACTGATACAGCCCTCGTAATCACTTGCAACGCGGCCATCTCCGACCTCAATCGCACTCCTCCAGTTCCTGAGAGCAAGCAAACAAGCAAGCAATTGAGGAATTGAGCAAGAGTGCGAGGAATCCTGCAAAAGCCTTGAACCCTATCTCCCTTTCTAGCTCTCTCTCTCTCGCTCCATCCTCTTCCAAAGTTTTTTCGGACACGAGGAATGTCCCAAAACGAAGATTTTTGGGGGTGCTCTCTACATGTACCCAGAACGGTGATCTTCAGGACGAGGGTCAGATTTCCCTTTATTTTATTATTTTTGAAGATTATTATTCTTCACAAATATTTTTTCTTATTTATAGTAAGACTAGTGGAAAGACTAGTAAAAAATATTTATTAAAAACTACAATTGGGGGCTTTTGAGGTTCATGCCTTGTAATCTCTTAGTGCTACTCTTGGTAAACTATAGCAATAATATGCAAATTTTGGTCTCTAATTGATCAAAATTTGAGTTACTGCTTCACATGAAAACAATGAGATAGCACCCAATTAGAGATGGTTTTTGTCTCTTCTTATTTATCCCATTGGTTTATTCCTTGAGTTGGTTTATATAAGAGATTCAACCCATGTAAGATTATTTACTTTATTCTTTAAAGTAAATCCTTGGAATCCTACATATATAAGGAAAGTGAAATTCAATTAAATATTATCACTTTTGCTTGATTATTATGATTAATTATAATTCTATTTTTTATAATTAAAAAAATAATAATAGTCATAATAATCAAGCAAAAGTGAATCAACTCTTGAAAATTAAACAATGTAAGAATTTAAAATTTATCGCTGGTTATTTATAGGGCTAGTTAAACAGGTCATAGAAGTATCAGTTAAGATGTACTTACAACCCTATCAGATTCATACAAAGAAAAAAAATTAAAAAAAACATCATTTTTGACAAATTTTGAATACGTTGAATGTTATATTATAAAATTTCATTTTACAAATTAATTTTAAAAAATTAAAATTCAATAAATTATGTTTTAAAATAGGATTAAAAAAAGCATCAACTTTGTTGTCATCTATTAAAATGATTTTATTTTATTTTTATTTTATTTTTTAATTTTTTGAGAGAAGAAAAAAAAAACCAAATAAGGATAATGTTATTTTATTATTTATTTATTTTTAAAATTTTTAAAATTTTTTCAAACAAAATTAGGTTGAACATTTAGATTATATAATAAAGAGCATATATTATTGCATATTATAATAGATTATTGGATAGTTTAGAAGCCAAAAGAATTTGAATAGAGTGATAAATATAAATCATAAATTATTACAAAGATATTCGTAGATTTTTTTTTTTTTTTTTTTTTTTTTTTTTATATTAAAGCATCAACATATTTTATTTATAAATATTTTTCTAAAAAAAAAAATTTTGAACTTGTGAAAATAGGTCTTTCCAATACAATTATAATCAATTATGGACAATTTCTAGTATCAAGAAATTTTGTTAACAATATGCAACCTTTGCAAGAAAGTGTAACAAAAAGAATATCACACAATGCCTTTAATTTCATCTAATATTATTTAAATCTTGAACTAGTTTTAGAAGTTGAGGTACATAGTATGGAAATAGATTGGTCAATACAAAATAATTTATGAAGAATATATTATTCAAACAAGCAAGAACAAAAAGATGCACTATTATTATTTGAAAGGTAAAATATCTTTTTGAAAAGCTAAGAAATCAAATAACAATTGTAATAAATTCATGCCACCAAATATTTTAATAAAACATCTAATATTATGATTTTAAAGATGTGTTTGAGGAATAAGTTGTAAACATATATCTAACACCACAACAATATGTTTTTACAATTAATTTGCAAGAAAGACCACAAATTTTGTTTCAACAAATTTATAATTTTTTGAAATTTTGATAATAATTTATACAATATGTCTTTGAACCATTATTATTTTTAGTTATTTTAGACCATGATAATTTATTTTAATAATTTAAAAATAATAAAATTTAAAATAAAATTTAAAAAATTTAAAAATAAATAAAAATAATTATAATTATAATTATATATATTTATTTAAAATTATTAATAAAATAATAAATTCTATAATAAAACATGCCATTATAATATAAGATATTAATTTAAACACATCTTTTTTAAATGCAATGTGTTGTGTAAAAAAAGATGGCTATACACAACAAATTGAGAATATGAAATCAATATCAAGTATGTAATCTAAATCAAATAAGAATATATAAGCAACATATTGTTAAGATGAAAAATCTAAGTATAATTAAATCAAGCTATCTCTCATATTACAAAGAAAAAATCTAAGAGAGCAAGTGTATGTAGAAAGAATCCTAAAACTTTCCTAAATAACTAAATCACTATAGCCAAGCAAAATCTTAAAACATGAGTTTTTTTTCTTTCAAAAAATACTCATAAGATTTGACTTGACAAGAATGTCAAATCATAAGATTTTTTTTTATCCAAGTCTTCAAATCATAGTTGATATTAATAATGTCAATTAACAAAAAATAATAAATGGATGACAAATTATTATAAAAAACTAAAATACATCCATCAAACATGATTTGATTTCTAATGTTATATCAAGTTACGATTTTTATCTAAATAAAGATCATTATATATAATAGATTGAATGCCAAAAATCAATATTAAGTATGCAATCTAAACCAAGTAAAAATAAATAAGTAAAACACTTTCAAGTATGTTTTTAGTTGATTAAGAACCTTACTTATTAGCTATGGCAATAATGCACATGTATTTGGAGATAAATGCCACAATGATGTTGCTACAAAATTATTAATAATTAAACCAAAGTTGTAGGAATTAGACTAATAAAAATTATAGAAAAAATAAAAGAAGTAAATCTTCAACTCTTATCAACACATCATGTATGGCTAAAAGACTTTCTACAATTTGGACAAATCCAATATTTTAAAAGAAGAGTTGAAAGAAGTAGTATCAAGCATGCTATATGCCACCTACATTGATATTAGTTACATAGTAACATGATAGTAATTCTTTTCTTCTTACCACACACAAAATAATAAAGACCATCTAGTACAAATTCTACTTAAAAATGTATAGAATTATTAATAAAAAGATAACAAAGATCATAATTCTTTAAAATCTCTTGAAATTCTTATCCATATTTGTATGCAAGCAACAAAATACTATTAGGCAACATATCCTTGATACAAAGAAATGTGAGCTCCTCTTTAACATCAATTGTTATAGAGACTTGATATATTAAATATACATAATCTTCTTTGAAGAATCTTCACAATTAAGATTGATAAGATTCACTACAAATAAGAATATATTATAAAATATCACAATATTGATCAATACAAAAAAACTCTATGGCTATGGACATGGTATCAAGGATAAGAATTCTATGAAAGCAAATAAACAGGTTAGACTTTCTCAAAGAAGTATGACAAAATAAAAATAAGGAAGTATATATATTTAAAGGAAACTAAAATGACTATTGACTATTAGTAGTTTTAGTCATTTTATAAAACAACTAATAAGGACTAAAAGATGCCAAAGATACATGTCTATAAAAGTAATAATCTATTGCAATCCATGGCAATATTAAGTCCCAATTCTAATGATTATCATAAAATAATCTATAATTTTTGAGACCATGCTTGACAACCTAAATAATCCTTTTTATCAAGCTATTTTCCTCAAAATATTTTATAGAGGTGGTGCAATGATCTATAAAAGATTTAGTATAAAAAGCTTCTTAAACTTTATTTAATTTCTTTTCTAGATCCATTAAGATTATAACAAGCACTCCAAAACATGTCAACATATAATCAAGAAGTATCATAGTTGCCAACTCTGAAGAGCTTTGTGGCAAAACCTTAAATTCAATCTATTTATTAAAATATTTTACTATTATTAATATATATTTAGCTCTATTTGAGGTGACAACAAGTAATTTAGTAAAGTCTAAAGACTAAAGATAGCCAAAATCTTTGATGGATAAATGTCAAAGATATGAATCTCAAAGAAAGAGAATCCTCAATACACTCTTCTATCACTGAAGAGAACTAGAAAGTCACTCAAAAGGTGATGTAATATTAACTAGAATGGCTATTGCCAAAAACAAGAAGACTAAAAAGTCTTGAAACAAGACTAAGACTAGAAAGGCATTGATAAGAGTGAAGAAGGCTTCATTCTTGCCTCCATATATACTATCTAACTAAGAGCTATATGGCGATGTCATATAAGACCTCCAACATGTGTTGACTTTGTTAGCCACATGTCTTATCTTGTAAGGCAAGTTATCTATGTATGTGCCACGTAGTTCACTTGTTCCACAAGCTATCAATACATGGTTAGCTTTTTGGCCAAGTTTCTAATCTACAAACACATCTAAAGTCAAAACCGTATCTATGAAGCTTCTAGGAAGCTTCTCTAGAAGACTTTATGAAATTATTCTATATTTATCTACTTCTACTTAATCTTATAAGTAATTACTGAGATAAATATATATGTCCGTGACATTACCCCTCATTTTAGAGACGAGTTCCATGAGAAGCAGTCTTCATATATTGAAGAAGTCCAAGATGTAGCAAATTATATTTGCTATATACTTTGATCTTTGCTCTCTTTGAAGATGATTGATAGGTCCTCTCAACCATCTATAGTGTCCCATACAACGGCAAGAAGACCATCCTGTTATTTGGTCATTGTTGAAGCCTTCATAACTTCCTTCCAATAAAACATTTGGAACACTGTCAGGAGTTGTTCCTACCTCTAATAAAATCACTAAACATCGAGAGTCTCTTCTAAGGTTGTGATACCAAACACGTTACATCTTGCCATCTATTCGAAGAAAGACATGTCGTTCTTGAGGATCTTTATCTCGATTTTGTCCTCTTAAAGGTTGTGACAATCACAATGTCTCATCTAGTGAATCCACAAATAAAATCTCTTGAATTGAATCTGCTGATTTTTGGTGCTCCCTTTCATCACAAATAAACAGAAGCTACAATGAAAGATAGAAGATAGAATATTATTTTCCTTTGATCTTATTTTTTTTATAGCAAAGGTTTGCTATTCTTCATCTTGGTTTTGATGGAAGTCGTTGATGAAAGACTTCAAC